ATGCTAGTAGCGTATGCGGACATTGACATTTCAGTACTAACGCACCGCCAAAACGCTCTGAAACGACCAGAATATCATCCTAATCGGTATTAAATTTTCTTGGCATTTGCAACGATGGTGTCAGTTTCATATTTTTTTTGCTTATTTCAATTCTATTGATTTCCGCTATTATCATTAAGTGTCTTTTTTTGCAGCTGTTATTCAGTGAGAGTGGTTTGTTTCCATATTACATACATCGCGTACTTATCCGCTAAGTGCCTTTGTTGTCGAACCGCGCACGAAGCTAGCATGAGTATGTTACCCCGAGCCTATTGCGCTCGGACTAGACGTCGCATTCATATAGTATTCTAGAAGACGTCACCAACTACTAGAACTAGTCTCACTGCGTCTACAACAGCTGGTGGTACATGAGGCGCTGTCATCGTTTGGGAACTGGGGGTAATCACCCGGCCGATAAGCTGGCATACTAACAGACCATCGAAGGATTACGTCATCTTGATGGAAATTTACTTAGCACCTCTTAGCCAACTGGTAAATACGAAAATCAGACGCCGATATGTCCGTAGTGACGGTCTTGCTCAAACACGAAGTTCTTGCTTTTGTCGTGGCCGTATGTCCCGGCACCCCGAAGCTTTGCCATCATATCCAAAGCGCCGCTGATACTGCACCCGTGCTAAAAGCTGCTGCTGCTACAGCAGCAATATCAACATCATCACAGCCAAAGATGCACGCACGAATGACCCGAGCTGAAGTGGGGAGGCTGTTCTTACACCCGGGTTCTTCTAGCACGAGGTGCCCTATCGGGCGCAGGCGCCAAGTGCTAGTCCTGAGAAAGTTGCCAGCTGAGCAAGCCGTAAGAAAGCTAGACGACGTACAAACGCAGCAGGTCATCACTATCCATGCGACATAAAAACTTCGTTGATCCATGGATAATGGTGGCAAGGGGGTGGCTGGGGTGGAGCTAGTGGAGAAAATAAAAATGCTTATGAATTACCACTGTCATACAAATATCCCCATCATCCAATCCGCCGTCCTACGATGCGATTTATTTATTTCGTGTTGTTTTCTAATTGTTATGAAATTACAATGGTGAGAGAGTATTTTTGGTTTTATGCATATAGAAATATGTTCGGGGATATTATATATATGTGTATATACACATATATATACACGAATATGTAACGGCAGTGGATAATAAGTTGTCATCATGATAATAAATAGCTGTTTAACACAATGACCATGTTGTTAGAACAATGGTCCTTTACCATCTCTCAAAATCATCGACGCTTTCGAGAATCTTCCTTCCAGTGTAAGTGTTTGCCAGTGTTCGGTACCCTCCACTGGGAATCCCTGCTTGTCTCTGTAAGGTATTTAGTATTATTAAATTAGACAAAATGACTAAGAATTGTTATCTTTCTTCTATTCCAGTTTGTCTGATCCTATATACAGTTTTATGCAGTTATTCAACTTGGAACTCTCTCGTGTATTGGGTTCTTTACCCTTGCGGTGCCTCAAGTAGCTTGTTGGTGGCAGCTTTTCGCATGAACATTGTCCCGGTAAATACTGAAAAGCACCATAAGACATTTCCTTGATCGAATTTCTTGGTATGGCTTGACGTATCAGTAAGAAAACGAATGTGATCCTGTAGTTTCGACAATTAAAGCTACTTCTATATTACGATTTTCGCTGGCTACAATCGGTGCGAGCAAAGTCCTGCCAATCATATGAACCAAGCTTAATATTTTGGTAAAATCCAAGGTCTATTAAACTATTATAGTTTAAATGCAAAAGCTTGCTAAGTTACAGATTTGCATGAGTGCTTACGGCGAAAATCTACCACAGAGGGATGTGGTAAGATGTCGTGGACATGATTTATTTTTTCATCGGAGTTCTTACGATGGCTTTCAAAACGATATTATACTAAAAGTCTTCTTCACTGTGGTCAAAATCACTATCTGACGTATTTAAATCTTTTTTTTTTTTGCCGGGTTACTGAACCAATTACAAACTAATCGCTCCCGCAGTGAACTTGTACAGTTCATATTGCTAGTCAAAAAGGTACTATCCACTTATTTATTGTTTACTTTCTGTGCATTGCCCCTGTAGAGCTTTCGAATTTGCAGTCTATATGATTGCATACTATTTTTTGAAAAAATACACTTAGATAGACAGCTATATTATATGAGCATCGTTTTTGGCAATGCCAATGAACCCTTCGGATACTATTTTTTTACTCCAGCATCGTGGCGAGCTAACGAAAATGTCTTAATCGATTCTAGGAAAAAAATACCTTAATCGTTTGATTGTCTCCAAAAAGTTACTGGATGGTTATTTTTAAAAAGGCCCATTGCCCGCAAAGCCTGTTTAGTCAAAAGCTCTATTGTATGAGTTTTCTATGAGAAAAGTCTACAACTTCTCACACCTAGACAAGTCATTTACTTAATGCGGTGCTAAGAGGTAGCATATGGTTTATCCGGCAAGAACGGCCATCAGCAGCCCCTATCTTTCTACCAGGTTAACCTAAACAGTCGGGGTTGCATTCATCTAAAAAAGTAACTGTTGTAAATAGTGGATGTTTGATCTGTTCATTTTGTGACTGACTTCAAATAGAATAGTTAATAGGTCGCTATCATATAGAAATCCTCTTATTGATTTATACGGACAGCACAGGAAGCGATCTACAGTTTCACGTTTTTGCAGAAAGAGTTCACACGAACAGGCTGATAATAACATAAGATATTTTTGTTTGTCTAAAATTCATATTAAATTATTATAAACAAACTTTTAAGCTCGTGCAAATTATCTGACTTAAAGGTTATTTTTTTTATTTTTTTTTATTTTTATTTATTTTTTTTAAATAACCAGCTCAGGAAACAGAAACGTTATGCTGAACTTGCTTTAAATGTCAATAGACGCTTTCAAGATTTCTAATCTATAAGCTATCGACCTCGTTTCAGGATGTTTTTTGCATATGCTGGTAACATGGCGTCAAACCATCCTACTTGAAAGACTGATGAATGTTCTTTTGAATTCGACTATCGAATTACTAATGATTTTTTTTAATGAGATCAATAGTGGCTGAAAATATTGACACATAATTAAAGATGTAATTTATATCGCACACCCCTGGCTCACCTGCTGGCTGCAAACACAGCTATTTCTTTGTAATTAACTTAATAGTTATGTGCCCGTGTCCGTATACATACATATATGTATATATACATCACTGGCACTTAGCCGGATCCGTCACGATGTTTAACCACACCTGATGCTTCGGGCAATAGCCCGGGCAACGGTTGTTACAACGCGAATGGGCAAAAACCCAAACATCAAATTGTTAGTGTGGCATCAGGGACCCAATACGATTGCACAGTGCTTATATATAGATATGAAAGATCAGCTACGCTACGCCCCGCAGCAGTTGATAATTCTCGCTACTCTCAAGTTTGCGCATAACACTAGGACTGGGAAGACGATGAGCAAAAATCAAATTTCCCTTAGTTATAAGGAGCTTAACAGTTATAATAGAGATTATTAGTGGCTGCCGGATTTCTTATGACGCGTTGTGCTCGCTTGTGGGCCAACATAAGCAGTTCATATCTGTTTCCACCGGTTCCACTAGTCGCTTTATGTAGCCCTGATGACATCGGCACTACTTCCCACTTAGTCCCTAGCGGATCTCAATAGCCAATTTCCAGCACCGAGCAGTAACCAATCGGACCGAAGCTTAGTAAAATGCCGAATGGTTTTTCGCCTGTGGCGTACGCTCTTATTATCTTCTCTGGTTTCCGACAGTTAGATCAAATCGGTCGGCGATTAGATTAAGCCGAATCGGTCAGATCTTCGATCAGAGCGGACAGCTCGAGCTTCGATCGGTTGTCATTTTCTTCACTTTCAGTTAGAGCCGGCAGCGACACTAGCAAGCGTCATGCGATGACTTCTTTCAGACTACGTTTCCTTTCGGAATGTCGACGGCGTCACAACGACGTTCGAGCCAGCACGTCGCAGGCGGCCCTACGTCCTCCGTCGTCGAAAAGGGCCTGTCTGTTGGCGTATAAGAGCTTTGTTTGTTTCAGCTAGCTTGGATGGAATGGCCAGGGTCCTGACCGGGAGTCCATGCTGTGCCCGTCCGATTTGTCTGCCGGTCTATCGTTCGGTTCCCGCTTCCACCTATGTAGCATTCAATTGTCCGGTCGCTGCTCGGTAACATCCGTGCTCGCATAGCCCGCCTACCGGTCAGAACTCAGCTTGCTGTGACGGAACAGCCTGCGACGACGAGACGGTGTGCGTCGTTGTCCGTAACCGCGATTACTCTACCACTTCTATTCCTATAACTATTACTTCTACATCTACTGCAGTCTATGACAGCAATGATGGCGCCAAGGATCAGCCATCACTGACTGCCGCATTGGACGATGGGCGATGAAAGGTAGAATGCTTGCTCGGTCGCGCGCGCACAGAACGCCAACGACGACGATAGCCGTGCGTCAGTCAAATCGTTGTGCGCCCGTGTGGTGTTATGTGGTGCGTTGCCTTCTAAAGCTGTCGTGGTAGCGAACGGCGAGCAGTTGCAATCAGCCTTGCGGGACTCCTGACGACGAAGACGTGAGTCAAAGTTATCGGCTAGTTATCGTTAAGTCCGGCCAATAGATGGAGCCATCATATCGTGGCGAGCAGCAATAGTCTTCGTAAAATTGGCACACGCAGCGCCATCTAGTGGGAAGGCCGACAATGTGCCCAGGGCGTTCATCCAGTGTTGTTGGGCTGGCTGGATCTTTATGCGCGGAGGAATAGTAGTTGTTGTTCGTGTTCTTTGCGGAGGGCTCCAGACAAGAATAGAATGAGTCGATAGAAGCAAATGGCCAAGCCGATGACAGAACAGAGCTGTGGGTTTGGTTGACTTCCGGTGGCGCGGCATGCTTCCAAGCACGCGCCCTCGCTCTCTTTCTCACCCCCGTATCGCGTCGGTGTCAGTACATAAAAGCCGGCGTTCGACGGCATCGGGCGAGCCACAAGGTGCCTCCTGCATCCTTCGACAGCCTTCGGTAGTGAGTGCGTTGCAAGCGAAGGGCTGCTGGCCCCCTTCAGACGGATCTTTGGCTTCATCATCAGTCTTAGTACTCGGTCCTATCTCATCGACCACGTCGAAGTAGCTGCATTGCATTGCTGCTATAATGGCTGGCTACCACCATGGCATCGTTTGGGCTGGTAAGGATACTTTGACCGATTCAGTACGAACTACGGCGTGTTAAATTACGATGTTTTGCCTGATCTTCGTTGGCTACTAGAAAAGACGACAACAGTGAACGGTGCCACCATGCCAATCATAAGCTGACCCTGATGATTACCTATCAATGTTACGTCCGATGTGTCATCGGCGTATGTACATGTCAACTATGGCTATATAGTGTTATGTGTACTGATTATTTGGTGGGGTACATTTAGTGGCGAAACAAACTATTGGCTATCCATCTAGCAGGTCGCTCGCCTGTGCGATTAGGGGTATACTTTTTAGGTTTGGTGAACTAACGCCTCGATGAATTCGAAACGAGTCTTTTGAGAGCGCTTCAAGGTGCGACTAGCAGTCGTTTTCATTGCAGCACTCACCCTGGACTATGTTTACAAAGTAGTGCCTCTAAAGGCTTGCACTTCAGTAGTACATATGATATTATCTATCACATACTATGAGGACCGTTACATAGAGGTGTGTTGATTTTCGTAGAACTCTCTGCAAGCCCATTAGACATGTTTGGGAAGTGAGGATATAAAGCACGCCAATTGTTGCGAAAAAACTTGAGTTCGAAAATTGACTTACAGACAACTATTATACTAATTAGCCTCGTTGTAACCCACCCTAAATAATCGATTGTTAAAATTTAGGTGGCAATAGGTCTGGTATTAACTGGTAAATCCGAGTGAACTAATAGTATGGAAAGGATCTAGGCAAACAATCTATTGCTATCATAATCAGAACTCGCGTAACATGTATCTCGTACGGAAATAGTTAGAGAGAGTTCTGGTGAAAGAAGAAAAATTTGAAATAGAAGTGAGATGCTGCTTAAATATGTTTATTCAGAACTTATAAGCAGTAGATATTACAAATTATTTAAATGAGGTCAACTTTACTTAATTCAGCCGTACTGAGAATTGAATTTCCATCTTTTCATGATTTAACGCTATTTTTGTTGCTTAAATCTCTAACATAAGGAGTTAACGAAAAAGCTGTTCAACGAAAAAGTACAGCCATTTTTTTTTTTCGATTTTGTCTAACGTACCTGAAATTGATTAGTGGCGTATTGTATTAGAGTCCTTACATTCAGCTGATATATAGAAACATATGTATATATAAATCTTTCTATATAAACGACTCGCTGTGTATATTATACGAAGTTAAAAGTGTCACTGCGATCACTGAACTTAGGATTAACAGAAGGACTCGAATCAGAAATGATTATTTCGTGATTAAAAAGTCTGTCTGTTTGGTCCAAAGCCGTCACTTTAAGCTGACTTTCTATGGGCCGCTAGAGTTAGAGAGTTTGAGTAGGCTATGGATGAGGTTCTTTCGATTAGTTACATACGAGTAAATCGCAAAGCTGGAAAATAGGCTGGAAAAACTTTTTTTCGGTTAACGTTTACTTCTATATATTTATATTAGAAAGTTGTTTGCTCTTTTTTTTTAAGAACTTTAGATTTTTTACATGTTGACGGATAACGGGTTAGATGGTGATTTCGTCTGAAATTGTTTAGGAATTAATTAAATATACCTGGTAAACGCTTAGCTGAAATATATATCGATGGAACGGAGAACGAGATACTTGCAGCTAAGAACTACGAGAAGGTGCTCTAATAGGGAAGTGAAATGATCAATTGAGACGGTAACGGATTTGGGTTGCATAAATTGTATCCGATCGGAGCTTATCTTTTTGATGTGTGACTGTAGTGAAATTTGTTCGGGTTTATATTGGCAACTCTAAAGTCAAATTTAGCTATTTCGGTAAGTAGCAGGCTACCATTATAACTGAAGACAATTGAGATGTGTGCGACCAAGTAACAAAACGATTTTATTATTATAGGAGATAAACTACGAGCACGTTAATAATATAACTAAGTTAAATTGACGCGATTACTGATAGAAAGTAGGAAATTAAATGAAATCGATCGTAATTACTGAAGTCGGACAGCTGTAACTGTATATATTTTAACTTTTGTTTAAGTTCAGCTGTTGAATAGCTAATATCAGGAATAGGATACTTACAACAATGTGACAAGTTAACTGGATATTTTAATGAGAAGACCACTTGATCAGGGTAAGGGGTTGAGTGTAGCAGAATGGTAATTCACCGAGCATAGGATAACCCGGTTATAAGCCCAGAGAAACGTGATATCGATAGGGAAATAGATGGTAATACAAGTGCACAATAGAGTCTAAAAGACTTTTGCAATTGAATAACTATAAAGTATAGATCTGCATTTGATTCACAAGTACATGTTCGAATCCGTATTTGCTTCTGTTAAACGAGGCCAACGAAATAACTGGAAAAAGGCATTAAATAGATTGAGGTAACTGTAAAAGTAGTAACTCTTGATACATATACGTTACACTAAACTGGGTGTAAAATCCTCAAACTACTATAATTAGTCAATTATAGTCATTAGACAATGGCAAGACAGGCGCGGGCCTGTCTAGTTCTAATTGTGTACTTTATTCAACTTCCGTTCAGTTACATTTTTGGGCGCTGTGTGGGTGATGGCACAAGGCATGCCAGCCGTCGACCCTGTCGGGAAAGCAGCAGTGGACACAAAAGAGGCCCTTAACGGATCCGAAGCCATCAATTCCACGGAGGCTGCTTCCAGTTCGGGCTTCAGTTGCGAGGGACGAATCTTTGGGTACGTTTGACGAAAGCATTGTCGGCGAACGAAAAAACTGGTTGGCTATTTTAACCCGCCTAGCCCATTTTAGACGTACGGTTCACATTTTTTTTTTTATAAACGAAAATGTGGCATGTGCATTCTATGTGAATGGAAAAGAAGATTAATTGGTCAGCTAAATAATTCTACTTGAAGTGCTATTAACTTAGTAACGGCCGATTAACTTTGGATTTCTGCCACTTGCAGATACTACGGTGACACAAAGAACTGTTCGCTGTTCCATTACTGTGAGCCATTCACAGACCCCGAGAAGAACCAGTTTGTCCTTCATGCCGCCTACCTCTGCCCGAACGAGACGGTTTTCAACCAGCTGTCGTTAACCTGCGTTTATCCAGCAGAAGCACTGGACTGCTCACGTGCTCCTGAATACTACTACGTCAATAGTCACGTTGTGCCAGTTGACAGTTCGGCCGAACAAAGTTCGTCGGCGGAGGCTAGCTCAGTCGAAGTTCAGGACAACAAGGACGGCAAGAACACCAAGGATAGTAAGGAGGCCTTCGAAAAGGCCAAAGACGCTACCGCTGCCGAAACCAAGAAGCCTTAAATATCCTTATGGAACAGTCGGGCTAACGGCAGATAAACTGTAGAACGTATGGTCTGAGGGATGAAACGGAACGAATCAATAGAACAGACACAGGCTATCACAGATATTTACGTAGGCGATCGTTGCTTCGTCGTTGGAGTGCCGTGGTGCAAGCGGTACAAGCCTTAGTATATAATCACCGCCAGAATCGAACCGCCGGCCATTGATTTTTATAGGTATTTCGGCGTTCCTGATGTGCTAATGCTTTATGTATAAACCTTCGGGCATCACTAGAGTGCCTACAGCGAAATGCTATTGCGGCGAGGATGATATTACGGGGTTTAAAGTACGATTTTCCTCGAAGGAGTGCGGATCGCGTTCGGCCGGTCCTACTGTATATATAAATAGGGTGAAAGAACTAGAAAAAAAATGAGGACGGCGTTTTACACGCTGAACGAAGAAGACGCCGCTGAAATTGAAGGAAAGGGAAAATAGCAAATAAACAAAAAAGCAAAAAAACACGTGGTTAGTAAAAGACACGATAATTTGTATTTATTATTTGCAGTTAACGAATAAAATAGACAGGCTAATAAAAATGCTATTGCCAGGAGCTTCGTTTTGGCAAGTGCGAGAAACAATTGTGCTCATTTTTGATTACTCTGAATATTTCTTATGCTGTCTAGTCTAAGAAATATCGCCATAAAGATGTCCAACCAATTAAAATCTATTTTAAATTTAAATTCAAATATAGCACACCTCAGATTATCGTGATTCAACTTCGAATGGAAGTACCCGTTCCTATCGCCAAATAAAAAAAAACTTTGCTAACATGTTATGCAGACCTGATCAAATAACGGAAAGAAAACTTCCTTTAAAGCAAGACACGTAACTTTCCGTTAGTTATGCGATAGCGTTTAGCTAAGAAGACCCACGAGAAATCACGTCAAAACTTACACGCGTTGAACTTACAACTTAAATGCAACTAGCGTAAGCAAATGAAACAGTTGCAAGTCGATGATAATGTACTCACCAAGTGTGAAATGTACGGTTAGCACTGATAGCAGTTGTTGAAAGAAGTCTTAACGCCATGCCATCGGTAAGGCAACGAAGTTACCACTGAATCTGACGGGAACGATAAATGCAGCTGAGTAATCCGCTACACTATAGTTGCTTGATACCGAAAACAAAGCAATATATTATAGTATTTAGTGGTTAGTTTAATGGTAGGAAGGAAAGTAACACCAAGGACAATGATTAATAAATAGGTACACATCTAGCTTTTTGCGGGCCTCAGAAAATGACGTAGGACAAAAGCAATATGGAAAAAAAATCGAATATCTCTCTGTCTATAATACTTGGAAAGCGTATCAAGTTATATTATTATTGCTATTGCGAGATACGATTATATGTCTTGAAAGTTACGACGATTAATAGCGAAAGCGAACAAAATGTACAACAACTGTTACCAAACAGGATAAAACCCGAGATTTTCTCCGTTGAAAAGTTGCTGTTTTCAACCTTTTTCAAAGATACATTCGCCAAAAATTTCCCTTAGAGACATATTATTGCCACCCATGATAAATCTATGGGTAAAGTGTTTCCTCTGTAGTCGTTCGAGTTCGAATCTCGGCATAGACACTCGGTTCTTTGCATGCTGAAAGGAGCCAGCCGTCTTACGGAACACCTAACAGTGGTGCCGGACGTAAAGCCCCAAAAATTTCGAGCTAGAAGGCATAACGATATCGACACTGGTCTTGGATGCCCTTGTAAAAAGTTGAAATGAGAAAATCAAATAATTAAAAAAAAATTTGCAGCAGCAGTTGGTGGTGCTCAAAACCATCCTTACACGTTTTGTATTCTAACGTTATATCCACTGCTCCTTTATTGATCTAGATATATATTCGGTTTTTCTTTCCAACTTTCTTTCTAATGTACAACCTCTAATTTGTATACCCCCGATGTAAATCATTCTTGTAATACCTACATCACATAAAATAATAAGAAATGTAATAATCTTTGATGGCTTCTATCACGACGCATTGACAAAAACTGAGTAAACAGGCACGATTTTCAGTGGCTTACGGCATCTAGAAGCAGCAATATGGATTGATTTGTTCGTATTTAGCGCTCTAGGCACACATTTGTAAGATCAAGTCTCGAACGCCTCAGACGGTTTCTTTAGGGAAAAAACCTTTGAGGGAATTTTCTATGGAACTGAATGGCAAGGATAAATAAAACAGAAGGAATATGCTCTGAATTTATTTTTCTTTAATACAACAAAATAAACTTTGTCAGTGTTAATCTGTGATACGCGCTATCTCTTTTAGTCGTTTGACTAGTTGTTCTCGCTTCATATTCTAAAGAAGAAATAGGAAAAATTCTTTGCTCACGAGCCGTCTAGTCACACGGCCGCACGGTCTGCGCCAGAAACCCCTACAGAGAGATAAATTGCATGTTTTAAAAATGGAACTTTTTCCAGTATGATAAAGAAGAGAAATTAGGCTTACGATGATCATGTTCACCTTATGACATTGGGCAAGGGAGCCGGACTTTTCTGTTCACGTGTTTTTCCTTTGATATTTCTCATTTCATTAATAGTATTAATAATACTCTTGCCAATCATGTTTACGAACGCTACAGAAGAATAGAACATGTCGCCAGAGAACGAGTTTTCGTTATCGAAATTACGAGTGTTTATTTTTTATCAGCCGGCGAGAGTTGAGGCGCTTTCGTTCATGGCGTGGCGACGTGACCCTTACGTCTACTGTAATCGGAGCCTCCAGACACGATGTGAGAGGTAGATGGCGACCGTATCGCAGCGCAAACCAGAATACATTGGTCAGTCAGCCACTGATCGAAAACTAAGACAAGGGCAAGATAGACAAAAAGCAGTAGATAATAATAGCCTCGATATGTCGAAGAGTCGAGGCAGATGAACGACAGATTGAGTAGCTGTGCTCGCCACCTTGAAAACACCAGCCATTCATCGGCTGACCTAAAGCCAATCTGCCCGGTACGGATATAGAACAGGTATATGGTATACTGAAGATGTTTTTTTAGCTACGGCCCGCTTGTAGTGAACAGAAGTGAGTGAGTGGCCTATGCGACGTGTGAATGGTCGCCAGGTGCAAAGTTACTCCAGTGCTACCTTTGAACTTGGCTTCGATTTCATCTTTTATCGAGGTACACGATTCGCTCCCTCTGTGTTCAGAGTTCTACCCGATAAGCAACTTAGTTTTATGCCAAACTCAAAAAGCTTACAGTCTTTTCACGATAGCATTGCGTGGACTGTGTTATTAATTTTACTATACCTAAGTGTACATAGTAGCTCTTAAAAGTTTTTCAGTACCCCGTTGTTCCAAGCGGACCCGTCTAAATAATAAAGGTGGAGACGATTTGATTAAAATGAAGGGTTCCTGCTTCGAACAAGCAATTATTATGACCTTCAATCGTGTAGAAAAACTTCAGCCGACAAGAACATCTACTCCAAAAATAGACGATTAAATTTGGAAAGTGTTGCTTTTACGGCATCCTAATAGTACTCGCCCACTGATCAAAGGTGTCTATTCCAACGCCAGTTTAGCAGGATACAATGGCTACGTTTATGACCATATGCAGCTACAAGGATGGTAGCAAAATTATTGACCACCTGGATTGGTCGTGGCACTTGCATTTGGGGTCCGACCCAGATGACACATGAAAGGCAATGAAGCTAGTTAAAATGATACTAGTTAGTTTCTGCGTGAAAACAACCTAACTGCAACACTTCAGTTCTTCGCCGAATTTCATAACGGGCAGGCCTACATTGTGAAGTGTGTCAGTCTCGATTTGGCTACCCGGTCTATTTCATTGGTGTCTACGTCCCTTATGAACGAAGAGACGTGCAAAACGCTTTGTCCGTTGCAATGGTTACCGCTGCCGTTACCCTTCGCGCTTTATTCTTATAGTTACGGCAAGCTCTACTGTCATGCAAGTCGGTATTCTTTGCACACACGCTTGCATTCGCTGTAACTAGGGTGGCACAGAAAACTAACTAATTTTTTTCTGCACAAAGCATACTTTACGAATCTGCGTAGAAACGACCCTTCGACAAAGATTAAATACCTTCGGACACGTTTCTGGGCTTCGCTGTGCAAACTGAAAACCCAAACGATTTTCTCCATTCCACTCATTTACCTCTACAGTTGATATCTCCCGTCGCAGCCGGTTATAGTAAAAGCAAATGATTGATCAATATTTACTATTCTTACGTTTAGCGTTTTACCCCCTTAATAAAGTTAACAACCACAAAGCATGCGTCTTGCGCTATGGAAACTCCTTGCTAGGCTTTAATGTTTTTCTTGCTTTAATTTCTAATGGTTAATTAGAATAACTTAACTTCATCATACGGTCGCAATAATATTTAATGATACGAATATAATTGTCATATTGTTCTTCACAGAACAGCGTATTATTTACAAAGGTCACATAAAAGTTTCGAGATGTGCTAAATACTGCATATGCCAACTTGAATAAGTAACTCCAGACTCATATTTCTTGTAGCAGTGCAAATATATAGTGTAGCTAATGAAATCACTGTATTTGCTAACCCAAGTGGGCTTGGTAAGTTGAAGTAAAAGCATTGCAGTTAGGTGAGTCACCTTAAATGTGCCGCCTTTTGAATGGGCTTCACTTGATACCGTAGCAAAAATTTAACTGTCAGTATGTTTGTTAACACTACGTCTTCTACTAAACGGAGTGAGTAGAGCTGTTATGTGGGCATCGAGCATTCAGGGTATTTAAATCGGACCTACGTATAGTGTAATCTTGGGTAGCGCAGGATGTAGCGCTGCTATAGTGTTCTGTGGGATGAAGTGTCTGCCATAGAGTCCGCCATTGTTCCATATTATTGCCCAATATTGTAAGTCGGCCCTTCTTTGTATGGAATTACGTTACGTTATAGTTTTTCTCCTGAAAGCGGCGAAAGGTGGCCGCGAGCGTCAATAGTGTCCAGCTTAATTACGTCTACGAATTCTATGTATTCCAGCGAAGTTCAAAATCCTCTTAAGCGACATCATGATGAAAGTATCAGTTCGCGTGCGGGGCGAGTGGCTGGCTGTGCCGTGTCCTGATCCGAAGCAATCCATCTCTTGGCTAGGAGAAGAGGCCTTACGACGGTATACGAAGCTACAACCCGCCACGTATATCGGCAACGACGAAAAGGTAGGCTGTAAAACAGCAGCCGACGTAGCCCCTGGGCTCAAACGTTCAGCGAGCTATATCCTAGTCTGACGATTTCGGCGACGACATTTTAGCTTCAAACCAAATCTCCTTGAAGGAATAATGTCACTTAAACTACTCTGCGAGTATAATACGCCGATTTTTTTGCGGCTATCCAACTTTCGTAGCAGTGGCCGCCCTAAAAAGCGTCCTAATGTCGCACATCTACAGCGACAAAAAAATATGAATTTTCGAAAAATATCGTTAAGCGCTTGATCTAAATTTCCTCCGAACGGAGGATATTTAGTAGATTTATCTAACAGTAAAACATCGTATTTTTTCACTCTCTCGTCTCTATGAAACAAGGCTTCGGCCCAACTAAACCCCTTTCGACTTTCAAGCTGTACCTGTTCGTAAAAGTTGAATGATACGCCATTTTGACACAAATCCCTTTTTTTTTTTTGTTATTTTCGCGTTATTCATGTACGGATTGAGCATTTGATAAAGTAACCTAATGCTGCTGGAATCGTTAGCTAAACACAATAAGTAAACAGCCAAAACGAAGCGTTGAAATCGAGAGGTTTTTCCTGTTTCAGAACTATGATTTTAGTTAACTTAAATTAATAACAAAATAATTATTTAATCGTCTATGAGCATGTTCTTGACATAGCACAGCGTTATTTTAGTAGCGTGGCATAGATTCAAGGCGTAGCACTTCATTATCATAATGTTATCACGACTGTACCACAAGGAAGTCGTGTCCTAGTTAACGAAGACGAATTTTCGTGTTTTCATTTACGGCCGCTGTACACGTACGCCATAATCACACTGCTCGTATCGAAAAGAGCGCCAGGTCTCCGCTACGCTGTTTTCGATCGTATCCCAGATAATCAGTGGACCCATCGCGAGTGACTATTTTATAACATTCATCGATTGTTTACAGATAGTCGTATTTAATAGTCCTATGCTGTTTATTGTTTCGTGTCAGGTTTTTGAGATCCGAAAAACCCGAGGCGGCGCCATACTTGACGGAGAAGACGAAATACAGAGCGTTCTGGACAATAACGATTTCGTATCTGTGGGTAAGATCCGACTCGCTTTGCAACTTTCAAAATGTTGATGCCTTCATTGATGGAACGCATTTCCACCGTTCGATATAACGGAACTAATTTAATATGGCACTGAAGTGAGTAGCGGAGGCAGCAGAATCTTGAAACTGTAACACGAAATTTAGCGTTCTTATAGAAAACGAATCGTCTGCATTTCAGTATTGGAGTCCGATCGTCCATCGCCGATTACGGGTCCCCAGGAGTTGAACTACGTCCCAGAGATGGTGTACGTGTTCCTTAGTCAGGTTATATCTATTTGATATAGAAAGGTACATTAAGACATCAGTTTCATCAGAAAAACGAGGATATTTGCGATAATTAATGCTACCTTTAAGACGTCTTCAAGTGTTGCTCTTCTGTAAAAACCTGGTAATTTACTAAACACTGTGTAAGCCAAAGTTTGGTTACTTTCATTTTCCAATATAGGATATCTTCCCTATGTGCTGACACCTTTGAGAAATTGCGGTGGCAGAAAAAATAACCAGTTAATTTGATATGGTGTCCAGCAATATTCCCTTCAGGCTCTTATCCTAAAGTATGGCGACGGGAACGCCTTTATCTACTGCTTTTTGTGGTGTGTGAACTGATTTTGGTTTGACACCTTGATCCTCCAGCAAAAAACCTGAGGAACAGGCAAATCAACAAATAGAAATTTCTTTTGCTGATCAGTCTCTCCAGATTACGCTTTCTCTTTAAGCAATACCTTACGAGAGCTTAAAAAAATCGCCATACGCTAAAATCAGCTAGAAAAAAACACTTCACACCGCTTCGAACGAATTTGATCCCTCCAAACATATCTCGTAGGTGTTGTCGTTGCTGAGATATAAAGCTAAACGGAACAAAAGTTGTTAAGACCAAATGCTGGCTTGTGGGTTGCACGTCACTATCGCCGCTGCCGAAGCTTGGCAAGCCCATTCGTCACTGTAAAACAGGAAGTAACCTCATAAAGGCGGTTGTAAGTAAGGTTTGTTACATGGTATAGTTTTGTTTCCGTCTCATAGAATGTCAGTAGCGATCAACTGTTTCGACCCTTGTTATTTCAAAGTTTATGCTCGGTACTGCAGTGCTACAGCTTTGGTACTTTCAGCGACTAATCCCGGCTCGCCAACTTTCTTGTTGGTCAGCAGTAACTGCTATCGGCGGGAGCGATTGCGGCTGAAAAGAAATAACTATCAATCGAAGATTGCTTACGAATGTAATGAATATACGCCCGTTTGGCGATGGAACAGTCAGTGTGCTACTAGTAAACACGCTCGTGTTTGCGTGTCGACAATGGACATCCGGCGTACAATGCCGTCCGGGAAATATCCAAACATACAGCGAAAGTACTCAATAATAATTTATCTATACCAATAGAATGGCAGACGTACGACTCTGACGAAACCGTGCTAGCCGTGACTGGCTAGTATTCAACCATTTTAAAAAATCCACTGTTTCAGTAGATCATCGTATCGATCATTAGTAACGATGACAAAATTTTGTAGAAACAGATCACCTTCATGATGTCTATCTATAGAGTATAAGTGTGGAACCTAATCGATGCAGAAGTTGCTTCCGACCGGGAATTCACTTCATAGGAAAGCCATTGTTTTATTCTATATGTCCAACTTCGTCTTACATCTACATAAAGGTACAGATGCGTATTAGACTGTGGTCAAAGGTCATAGAAAAATTACTTGACTTAAAGTGTTTTTATATAATAACTGTTGTTTTAATTATTATTTGTTTTCGATTCGCGTATTTATCATACAATGTTTCTTTGTCACATGGCCTTTTATATCAGCGGTGCGAATATATTTACAGTAATTCGTATATATAATTTCGAAAATTTCATTTTCACCAACTGCCGCATTGCTCTTACAGCAGAACCATTTCGCCTGGACACTAAATATATAAAAAATAGAGCTATTACGTGCTACTACACATCTATTTTACGTCTAACGTCTAGACTGTTATTGGGCTTGAGCGCCAAAACGCGTAAATCCGTTTTTGTTCTCTTTTATAACAAATATGACGATTACTCACCTTACTTCAGACCCGGAGACTTCAAGTCACCAGCTCAAGAAATCAGCATCGATGGAAACAATTTGTCCCCTGAAGAACTCCTGGATCTTGGGAGAGGCAAATACAAGATTCGGGTAAGTGACATTAGGAAGGGACTCACGTTTCGGAAGCCATCTTTTTTTTATTTTCGACCTTAACTGGTTCGGCTCTTGGTATTGTTGATTTGCTACAGTGATAGTCTTGGCCATGGACCCATTTCTCTCCCCGCTGGTTTTAAGCAGAATACCAGTATCATTGAGTGTAATCGCTACGTTACGGAGACTAAGACGCTAAATCTAAACGAGTGATGGGCAAACATTGCTGAACATACTGTCGATGGCCATGCTGGGGGCATATCTTTCACGGCCCGCTTTACCATCAGTGATCGAGTGAAGCCAAAAGTGGATGGTACTATTGACCTAATCGCAATACCTTGTTATAGCCCGTAAATCAATTATTTAGTATTTAATATGCTTATTTCGAACTAACGTTGCGTAAATTGTTACCGATTGCTTTTCGCCTATTTATAGCTATCGCACGATGCGGTGACACGCGTCACCGAATCGCGAAAGATGCTCGAACAAATCCTAGAAGAGAACCAAGTGGCGTATGGGATCAACACGGGATTCGGGAAATTCGCAAGGGTTGTGGTACCTGAAGACAAGCTGATGTAAACTGACAAACATAAATATTACACCAAAAGAAAACGAACCAAAGTCTCTTTCTAGGAATCGGAACAGCTGCCACCCTCATGCCCCTCGAACGGGACCATTGACATCTCATCGATCGAGCAATCTGTCATATATTTCAATTACTTCCAAGCTATGTTCAATGTAGATGAAATAATTACAAGTTATTGTTTGCTTTTTAGAGAGCTTCAACAAAATCTCGTGCGTTCTCACGCTGCCGGAGTGGGGCCTCCACTGTCGCCGGAAAAAGCTCGTATGCTTTTAGCATTACGGATTAACGTCTTAGCTAAAGGCTACTCAGGAGTGTCAATCAGTACATTGCAACAACTGGTTGATGCTTTCAATGGTTTGTTCCCTTGACAACGATAACTTAGTGAGACTTCAAGAAGTTCGAGCATAGTTGCTCCCTTTAGTATGATTAGGTAGATATCTCCGCGATTACTAAATGGATAAACATCATCATTTACCCAAACTCATTCCTATCTTTCGATAACTGTTACTGGTCGAATGTTCATGTTGATCTCTAATCGTCGAGGAAACTCATTCGACAAATGATCGTTAGATAATAGTTTTAGGTTGCATTCGCTCGTATCTAATAGTGACAGGTTGTACGGGACCACTAAGCGGATCAAGAACGTTCTTTCAAGATGGAGGAATAACGATATTTCCCTTATTTTCTGATTCATTAGATTTTCTTTCGTTCGCACAACGCCTTGTGAGCCTCTCACGTTACAATACCTAATTCCGTTATCGATGGCTCGTTTGAAACTATCAGTCGTGGAGTACTTTACTTTACGCACCCGTTGCCGTCTGTAGAGCGTTCAAGTGGTCGAAATTTAAAAAAAAAGAGAACATACGAGCTGAAGCCATGATGATAATTATAATAGGAATAAATACAATACGTACGCGCTCTAGGTTACGTCCGTGTACATAGTATTCGACGCTAGCTCAATCCCTATTCTTGGCTGTCAAACTGCACCATGTCTTGCCAATGGCGACGGTGTGTTCCAGCCAGGTTTTATGTTTATACAACTTGTCGTTCTACGCGTGATTCTATCTATCTATCTATCATAGACTCAGTTTACTCACCTAGAAATCCACTCTTTGCTTAGCTTTTTTCGCTATAATTCGATAATCGCTCCCTCGACAAGTCCATATCGAGTCGATAGGAATTCCTGTGTTTCGCTTTAAAACTTCACAATTTCAGTATCGTCCTTCGGTTTCGGGTCCCGCGACACACTGTCCTAAGAACCTCAAACGTATAATATACCAACTGTAATTGTAATTTTTCATTTTAAAAAAGTATTTCCGCTGAAGAACTTGTTCTCGAGTGATCTTCGATAGACCTCACTAACGCTCCTAACTTCGGGAATTGCTAGTAGATTTTTCGGAACTCACTGTGTTTTGATGACTATGAATTGGCCGACAGCCGTAGGACACCCAAAACTTAATGGTAAATTTCAGTTTCTCATAGTGCGCAGTCTTTCAAGCAGCGTTTTGGCCGGCTAGATAGATTCAGGAAAAAGCTGCTCAATTGCTGGGTTTTTTTTTTAAATTTCAAATTTATATCAAACCAGATTTTAGAATGAATATAAAGGGTGATTTTTTGGTGATTGTTTAACAGCAAATTGTCTTTCGTGGGTGCCCGAACAAGGGACAGTGGGCGCAAGTGGCGATCTGGCACCCCTTGCACATTTGGCCCTCGGTTTAATCGGCGAAGGTCGAATGTGGAGTCCTGAGACTGGGTGGGGTGACGCCAAATACGTAAGTAGATCGATATCTTTTGCCAGAACAAGAATTTTGGAAGCTTTTTTTCTTCATGTACTGCTGTTATGAAATTTTAACGAAATTGATTTTAGTTAAGAGAGTCAACAGTTAAAAAGGGCTTTACCGAACGAAGAAAGCTCACAGCTTATATCGTTCGCATTTATTCCAAAAATCACCCCCTCGAAGACACCTACTATTTTTTTTTATTTACGTTTTTCTTTTCCTTTAAATGACAGGTGCTGGAAGCGCATGACTTAAAGCCGATTCACTTAAAGCCAAAGGAGGTAAGACTCTAACGATCGTACATTAGGTTAATTCTGACTCTTTATTAAAGTATGTTGATTTTTGAAAGCGCATACTTTCGTTGTTATGAGAACCCACAAGTATGCGTAACGAGCTTGTCCAAAGTTTGCATGGACTACTCGTATTGTGAAACTTCCAAAGTACAAACGATTTATATCAATAACATAATTGATTTCCAATGCGGCATACGTTTAAGTGTCATATGAGAGTATCGTTGATGGCATCTTCAGAAGATTCGTGATTTTGTTTCAAATAAAATTATCATCATCCAATTTTCAGTCAATAAAATATTTTCCACAAAAGTACTTATATCTCTATACTGTATATGTGAATGTTATCCTTCAGGGCCTATGCATGCTTAATGGAACTCAGCTAATTACTTCGATAGGTGCAGAAGGTTTGTATCGAGAGATAGCCAACTATGAGGATCAAATGAGCAAGCTGAACACTTCCTTTGACACAGATGAATAACTCCGGCTCAGCTTGGTCTTTACATGTTAATTTTTTCTCACTTGCATCGCCTTACTTACCTCTCAAATTCGTTCGAGGAAACACATTTGAAAAGACGTACGCGTCACAAAAACGGAGATTTGCTCTTTTTTCACAAACAGCTTTGGAACGGGCCTCAAATATCTGCCGACAGGCTGACGTCGTCTGTGCACTAACATTAGAAGTTCTTAAAGGAACAACGCGTGCCTTTGATGGCGGTAAGTAGGACATGTCAACACGATTGCAGTGCTATTTTTTGCCTTTATTTGATTTATTTTTCTAATGTATATATATATATATATATATATATATATATATTTCGAATGTCAGACGCCACAATTAGCACCCATCTTAAAGAAGACTAATCATTCAATTATCATAATAGTAATACCAGGTTAATATTTACGTTGCTTGGTTCAGATATCCAAAAAATTCGTCCTCATTGGGGCCAGGCGCTGGTTGCCAAACGGTTACGCGCCCTGCTGCATTCTGACGTTCATCCTTCTGATATAGCTCAGTCTCACCGCTTCTGTAATCGCGTTCAGGATGCGTACACAATCAGATGTTGCCCACAGGTTTGTAATGGTGTGATGTAAACGGAAAGGAGCACGCATGTGAACTTTACCCTAATACAGACATAGCATATATATATATACTGGTTGGTGATGACCCAAAAAAAGTGTTTAGCAGCAAAAATTTAGTCTACAAAATCCGCACCCATCGACGAAGCTAGAAGATCGAATGATTTCGGCGAGGTATCTTGCTGTCATGATACCTACTGATACCGGTACAATATTTCAGTTCGACACGACAAAAACTGTTTCCAATTGTTACTAATAATGAAAAAAAACCAGGTCATATTGAAGACGTTAAAGAAACGTGTCGGGACGAACCTTTATGGAAGCTCATTGTTTATTACATATCTATATGTTCTTCGCATCAATTATAATTAAAAGTATGACATAATCTTGATTAATTAATTAGGTGCATGGCATTGTACACGACACCTTAGATTTCGTGCGCAGGATTATCACCACGGAAATGAACAGCGCCACTGATAATCCGGTACATACATATATATATATCTATATATATTCTTTATATATAATCATCAAATATATACGGCAGTTATATGTTCCATTCCAATTAAAATGATACATAAGAATGATAATCACCTAGCGTACTGTAAAACGTTTTAAAATTTACGTAAACAAGGGTTTTCCCATCAGAAAATTGTTCGCTGCTGTTTATAACCTCATTATTTTTGTGCACGCAATAGAGCCCTGCGAATTATAACGGCCTAGCAAATATAGGCCTTACATTTCTTGTCTGATAATTGCGTTATATTTTGGAATAATACTCCTTTAGTTGGTATTCGTAGAGCGCAACGAAATTATTTCTGGAGGAAACTTCCACGGCGAGTACCCAGCAAAGGTTAGTTAGATTTCGAAATGAGTCTTCTTCTTCAAATGTTCTCAGAGCATTATTTTAGCTTTTTCCATTCGAACTATTCGCATCTTTCCAAATCACACGAGGCGTTCCAGGTAGCGGCTCCACTTACCCTGACTGAGAGAAAAAAAACACTAAGAACACACAGTGTATATAACTTAAGTTTCGACTGATTTGTTTTTGTCGGCTTATGTTACAGGCACTTGATTATTTGGCAATTGCGGTTCATGAATTGGCTTCAATGTCGGAGCGGCGTATCGAACGACTGATTAATCCGGCTCTTTCAGAACTTCCCGCGTTCCTCGTCAAGGACGGAGGGCTCAATTCGGGCTTCATGCTTGCACATTGCACGGCCGCTTCTCTCGGTACCCTTTAATAGCTCACTGTGCTTGTTTATCTTGATCACGTTCTATAAGTGCTACCGTACTAGACGAAGTAAGTGAATTGACCTAGAAAACTTTCAACTGTTTAAAGATGTTCATGTAAGTACCTGACATATTTTGCTCGTCCCATTTTAGAGCTTTGTTTCGTCTACGATTTCGGGTTGGCATAGTCCCCTAAAAGGGCCATTCGTTAACGTGACCATCACATAACTAATCTGTGTATGACGATACTTTTCAAAATCGGTGCCCAAACAAACGGAGATAACGCTATTCAAGTCGTAAGTAGAATTATATGAACGGCATAAATGAACGATCGTAATCATTTTGTCACTGGTTTATAATATAGTTACAGAGAATAAAGTTCTCTGTCATCCAGCATCGATTGACTCCATACCAACAAGCGCTGGAACAGAAGATCACGTATCGATGGGAGGGATGGCAGCGCGGAAAGCACTCAAAGTAAGTAATAGTCTTTTGTCTGAGTCGATTTCCCGGATGAGCTGTCCCCATATTAGGATTATGAATAGCTATCTCGTATTGTACAATGGGCCTCGTAGTAGCAGTGCTTGCCTGGTTAGCTTAGTGACACGCGCTGGTCCAGGTGTGTGCCATCAGGGATCGGCCGCTTGCACCAATGCCTAAGGGCTTATTATTACCGGACGTGTCACTATGAGAATACATATTTCTATAGCATTATATTATGAAACGTTCCCTTACAATAGCTTAGAACACGTTTTGATTTATTCTAGTGAACTTTAAGTAAACATTTAACAAAATCACCATAAGATACGACATGGGGTTTCGGGGTAAGTTCGAATATGGTTTGGCGGGCCGTTCGTCGAGATGAGAACGTGTTCATCGGATATCTTTGCTACTAAAAAAAAGTCAGTTACTTTTAAATGAAACCGGGATGTCATCATGGCAGAGGCAGGAGCTTCTTTTGCTGTATATAAGCTAAAATTAGCTATCCTCCAATGTCTTCTTGCCGGACAAACCTCCGCTGAAGTTATTAATCTATTAAGCCAACAATCTGTGCCATTGCTAGCCGTTATACGGCCTCGCTAGAAGAACCTAAAACAGGTTTTCATACGACAATATCGAAGATCTGCAATAGAGACTCGACTGGCGATCAATCAATCAAAAAGATTACAAAGGTCTATTTCTGATGGACTTGTCAACCGAGAATCAGCGACTGCTTTTCAGGCAAGGTTATGTATCTCTATAAGGTCCCAACTTATAAGAAACGTATAGGCGTTGTGCACTCTAAAAGTGAACGCTTGTTAGATTATTGGGTTTTTTAGTCTACTGTTAACCCAAAATGTATGTCTGTGAGACTTTTTTATTCGTGATATATTTGACCGAGCCTTCTGAGCGTGTCAGTTGCTATTGCAAGATTCAGACAATGGAAACTTATAGGTGACTTCTGAGCAGTTTAGATACCGGATTAAAGTTTTAATGGTAACGAATGGAAGCTACGTTAAACGGCCACATTTCGAACGGTTCCATTTAAGTGCGGCTTATACACAAGCGATTTCGTCCCGGTTCATCCCGTACATCCTGTATGCATATAAAATAAAGAAGATTAATTGGTGTTAATTACGTTCTATAGGTTGTCGAAAATGTCGAGCACGTGTTGGCAATCGAACTTCTGGCCGCGTGTCAAGCCATCGAATTTTTACGACCCCTCAAGACAACTGCGCCGCTCGAGGCTGTGTACAACCTTGTGCGAATAGTTGCAAAGTACGTCGACCGCCGCATAAACACACATAGAAGTGTGACTGTTATGCATTGTACTTCTACTACTATTGTTCTTACTATTTGGGCCTTCTGAAGTATAGTTTTACTGCTCCTATATCCGGCCAGTGATGTAAAGCCATATAGGTACATGCGACCAAGAACATAGATTAATATTGCTCCATTTCAGAGCGTGGGACAAAGACCGCTTTATGGCTCCTGATATCGACAGCGTCACATTGATATTAAAAGATGGCCGTGTTTGGGACGCTGTAAAGCCATACCTTGATAAATTTCTCCTCGTCCAGGTAAAGACAATCCAGATCTTCCGTACGTTTTTTACGCTCTCACACAATGACACGCCTATACAAACTCCTGTTTCCCTTTCAAAATGAAGAATAATGAATGGATAATTTACAATATAAGTTTACATGATCCCAACCGGAAACTACTTTTCCTTATTCACTTTCTATTGCTCTAATATTGAAAAGAGCTGTAAGACAGGATATGCTGCCCGTGTCGACATTAGCTGTAATGCTATGGTCGAAGAAGGCCTAGATTCCGGGTGAACGTACTACGATTTCAAATTTCTTTAGGAAATCGAAACGCGAATGCCATCTCCAACTTCTTCTCAGCGAGGACTAAAACGGGGTATAAAGCAGCAGTATAACGTGCAGCGCACCAAACAGCGTTGCCAGGTGACACGTGAGGTTAAAGGGTCAAAAGACAGCAAAGAATCGAACCGCAATGATCCGGCGGCTGCAGGCGATGATGACGACTTTTAAGCGGAACGTTTTTTTTTTTCATAAAGGCCAAAATCATGTATGAGTATGATACAGCGTTTGTCAAAATATTTTGTCTCTGCACGCAAATGCGAAGCATCTAACATTCAAACATGTTCCGCATTATACACTATAGGCGGGAGGGAACAACGTAGCGTTCACTGCAGCAAATGTATCGAGCAAAACGATCTGAACTATTAAAATGGGCAAATTTATAAAATTGAAAAAATAATCATTCAAGGTATTCCTACATTGTCCTGAATCTGTCCAGTTTTTGGTCCTAATTATTAGTCCGTTTTTCTCCCTATTTCTTGCTGTTCTCTTTTCCGTGTGCTCGTTGCAACGCGTCTGAAGCACCCGTATCCGAAGACAACGTAAAAAGACAACCTGCCGAAAAAATTCAGCTTGTCCTAACTATCCTGAAGAGGAAGGACGAAATGAGCAGGCTTTCGTTGAATAGGCGTACACGTGTTTCTTGATGTAATGGCTAGAAACGAAGGTATACTCTGATCGTTATACTCCAAAGAGCTATATCGTTCTCGATCATTTAAACAAAAGCATACAATTTCAAACTACGGACGCGATGCTTTAACAACGATCTAATTAATAGCGATTTTTATATAATAATCACTTTGCAATAACACTGATAATTAGCGGAATACTGGATTCCACGGGCTGCCAACCTGTTACCATAAAAGCAACTTGAAGAACTGCTCAGGCGGTCCTTAGAACCTCAAATGTGCATAGATAGCGACAGCTTCGGTAGGTTTCGTAGAAAAGATGTAATATGGACATTTGAAAATTCGATGGACTAAAAAAACTTGGTTTTTATTAAAAGTAAATCCAATGTGTTTTCAATTATGCAATAGACGTTGGTATAACGTTGTAATGGTAAGCCCACAAATGTAATAGATCTCATAGGAATCGTTGCAGAAACGCTTTTTAGGTTGTGAGCGAGAAGTGAAAAATGAAATGAAAACGTGGTTTCAACTTGATATCAGTACAGCTGATGAACTTTCTAATGCGCACCGCCGTTGCTTTTATCTAAGTATGAGGAGAGCTATCAAATGCAGTCCGAAGTAAAAGCTCGGTAAATTACAGAGCTCAGATATACCGAAAAATGTCAACGGAATTATAATAAACTTCAGACTTTCTTTCGATAAGGAACTTTCTGTGTTGTGACACCTTTTCCGAGAAGCTCGCTGTCGTCGAGATAAAACTGGACGAGCAATCGCTCTCAGGCTATGAGCGTCACACTAAAGACAAATATCTTGCCAAAAGTACAATTGAGCTACACCCATTACTACCTTTTATCTGTAAGCTTTTTTTAGAGCAAAGAAGGTTACAAAATACTTTGAAGAACATTTACCTACGTCTGCCTGGCACTGGCCATGTCATTTTGTTCCTACATAAACGAGAAGCAGATATTCCGTGGTAGGTCATTAGATAAACATACTGGGGCAATTATTCGGATATACCTTCTGCTTTACTTGATTCTATCCAGCTTTGCTTAAATCCTTTTGTAGTGGTTCTATGTCGGTAGCAGATCCCTGGTCTCCTTTAAGAGTGCCGTACGGGGATACTTATCTACAATTACTGTTGTGTAAAGTAACACGCATGACATCGTATCGATTAGGATTATGCTAAGTAAACTATAACGTACCGTTTGCGATTAAGTCGGTCTTTTCTTTATGACCGACAGACCCACTTCTAGGCAGCAGGTATGAGATACATCTCTACCAATATCCGAGACTCCATATTGTGAACGGAATCGACGCGGCCGAACCACTTCGATAAGGTCGAACTCGTTTACCGAAAAATATACTATCTATCTTCGTAGCAGTCTGAGTAACGAGGTTCACTTGTAAGTTCCTCTAGGCAGGCCGCAAAAATCTACTTAGTACAGTTATTGAACGACAAATTGGATGACCTTTCAAAATTACAGAACATGTTGAGCAATGGCCAAACGTAACTTCGAACTGCACCGATTTCCATGGCCACCAAATAGCTGACATATGTTTTCTACCATTTACTTTGTACTGCTTAGAATGAAAGTATATTTTTTTTTTTTTTTTTTGTGAGATACACAAGATATAGCACAGTAGTTTGGTGTACAAGCGCCTGATAGATCTAAAATCATAGCTCTTGACGATACTTCGTCTCGCTTGACTATTAAAAACTATCAAGCGCACTATATTGATATAATAATATGGATAGCCTTCAATGAAAACATCCCGATTGATCTCCATAGGCAATTGTAGGATGAGTCGTTTCGACAAATTTCAAAAGCAAGATGGGATAGGCCAATTTCATATCGAAAAGCGACATCTGTCCATTGGCCGGAAAAATGGCTACGAATAAAAAAGCTGTCGTTTACAAATGATTATAGCCGATATCGTTGTCCGATACTGTTTTTCCGTAATTGGCTGAAGTCGTTTCCTCTTTGTTTTGGCTTATTGTATGTAAAAACTTAATGTAAAACTTAACAGTAATGTAAAAACTTCTATACAATAAGTATAGGTGATCCGTACTTGTTCATCGCACATCGGCAAGCCAAAATGGTTTAATATGGTCGTTGTGCTCTGATAAGCCAGACGTTCAGCCGCCCAATGTATTATAATTTGCTGCATAATTTAATATCTGTGATATCTTGCGCTTTATAAAAGAGAGAATGTGTGTCCTAAGGTTCTTAAGGGACATCAAATAAGAACGCACACCGGACAGAATTATTGGTTACCATTCGATCCTAGCAGAGTTTTCTGTTTTCTAGATATTTGCATAGCGAATAAAAATCGAGCTCCTGGCAGCATTATGGAAATATATCTATCTATGACTTTACTAACACCCTGAGGAACTTAAGCATATACGCTCCGAAGTGATCTGGTACAGAGCTTACTCCCGTATCTACTGGTATGTTTTACTTGCCGGAAACGGAGAGGGTTTTTAAAGAGGACGATACTAGTATTAGTATTAAGTTGAATTAGATAAAATCCGGTCTTCCGCGGATACTCAGCTAGTTCTTCAAAATTGTGCGTATCTTGATTTCGCACTGTCCTCTAGCAATTTTGAACCGACAGGTTAGTTTTCAGAAAGCGTTTCAGTATACGATTAAAACCAGTCAGATAGGTTTTTGCACGAATCATGCCTTGACCATGCACGATTCAAAGCTTAGCTTGAGGCATCCGTTCTAATGATCATGCTTTAGATTAGAACGGCACACTATTAATGGTGCAGTTATCAGCCAGCCGTTTCGTTCTTGTATAGAATCGAAACGACGTAATGGTAGAAGGAACGGACAAGGACGGAAACAGCCGAGGTGCCTAAATTCTATAATAAGCATATTGGGTCATAACTAATGGGCTAATGAGATTGGGTGTTAAGTCGAACTTCATCAAGTTCACTGAAGGCTTGCGTTAAATTCTTCGAAATTTGAAATGAACTGATCGTGCAGAGTGGTCCATCGTTTATATGACAATACTAAGAAACTAGCGAATATTTCAATAGATTTTTTTACCTGCCTTCTTACCTAAAAACATATCATTGCGAGTGCGAGACTCAAGTCTATTGAAGCAAAGACGTAAGACTGATTTTGACAAAGAATCAGGTTATGTGGCATATTGTAAAATTGTTGAATCTTTCTTTGGCATTTTATTGAAAGGAGAAATACTGAGTAAGAGAATAGCTTAGTTTCCTACTGTTTATTATAAATGTACACCATACAATAAGTAAATATTTCAGTATAGATGGGCATTTTAAGTTAGGTGCACCTTTTTTCAATCAGTAACTTTAAAGCGGTGGGGCTTTACTAGCGCTTTCTGACTTCGTACAGTTGCGTACAAGTGTGTCTACCTCCAATCAAATCCGTCAGTATATATATATATATATATATACTGATGCAATATGAACTATCGCAGCTCATATTGTATCAGTTATGAACCATGTTCATAAGAACCACTATATAAAAGTCGAGAAATACTGATATCTTGAAAATTACTCTTAAACCAAATGTTAAATTTATAGTTAGTTTTCAGTTCTCAGAGAAATCGAGAAATGTCAATTTCAATAAATTAACAGTGTTCCCCAAGGGAAAAAGAAGAAGAGCATGAACGACAATGGTTCATCAAACATGGAGAATTTCCTCGAAAACTACTACTTTTAACTACTACTTTTACACATTTTCATATTGCGCCTACAAATAATTTTCTAATATAGGTGTCTCGAAAATTCTCAGTAGGGTCCCAGCGACCTACCAAAAATTAGGCCAATAATTTGTATCAAACAGACAAACACCCGAACGAACGAACGAACACAAGTTTAATAATGAATTCGATAGAAAGACACCGACAGCTATAACAATCGCGGGTTACCGGTGCAAAAGCTCCACTGAATGCGATTGAATGTCTACGATTTTTAGGATGACACCTTTGTGTTTCAGTGCCCGCCGCAAGACGATTTTTCCTGGCTTACACACCAATGATTGAATCCTGAGTAGAGCCTATAAATACAATCTTGCCAATAAACAGTACCTCAAAGTTGAGTGTCAGCTGGATCTAGAAAAACATTTCGATTGACGAGCCTGCGCTATACTCTATGCGACGATGATGATGATTGAAAGGAGTATTTAGGACCTGCATTTATTTGAGGAGCATTTATTTAATGTCTGCAAATTGAGAAGGCGCCTTAGTACTCGATACGGATTGCATGTGTTTGAGAGATATACAAGAATGATTGAATCGCCTTATCACTGACGGCACTAACAAGGAAACATCAGCGTTACATGTATAAACAGCTTAGAAATTGTAAGCAGCTCAGTCACTCGTAGCAGTAGGCAATACAACGCACCAAATCGTTAGTAGTTTTCCTCGGAAGTTGCCAACCGTGAACGTTAAGGAAATTTCAACGGTACAAATGGCAACAGAATGCACACATCGTTTAGGTCTAACCATCCCGAACCGTCAATGTCTGTGTTGGAATCAAACCCTGCGGTACCGTGATTTTACTTACTCTAACAAGGTACGGGATCGTATCTCAAGATACAGTTACGGTGTGAGCGCTGGAACCTCCACAGTGATGCACATGTGAATGTCTGTCAAAGCTGAACCCTGCGCCTGTCAACTCAAATCTACCTACCAAATAACCGGCAGCTTTCGCTGATAGACCTGTCGATCTAAGCGAATGACGTAAAATTATGTAGCTGGATTTGTTGGCATTTAGGGTTTGCTCTGGTCGGAAGGAGAGTTTCGGTGACAGTACTAGTTCCTACACACAGCGTGCTTGTAGCCCCGTATGTTACTAGTTGTAGCAAAAAGGCAATCATTAAAACTCAGAAAGGTAGCTCAGTAGTTCGTATGTACATCTGTTACCACCCAGCGGTTACTTCCACTATTATAAATATATCCGTTTTGCTTACGATCCGCCTTCGAAGAATCATAAACTATCTTACATGAAAAATCATTCACGGTATACGGTGGATCCTAAGACATTTTTCTAATAATGGTCCGGCAATAGCTAATATCTGTTATAGGTAGTATTAAAAACAGATCAACCTCAAAAGCTCTAATGTGCTAATTTGTAAGGGTTTTTTTTTGTACTGACCGACACATCTAAACTCCCTATTTATGATGACTAGGGAATAAGGAGATAACAGCATAACCGACAAAGGGACCTGTAGCAATATGAAAATAGAAAAAGAACGACCTAATTGCCTTTTAGGCATACAAGGCTTATTAGAGCATCTACTCGTCCTGTACGTATATTTAGGTAAAATTATAGGACACAATCGGCTCTACCACGTACGGGTGTTGTACTCAAGATACCGTTACAGTAAAATCTGACGCGCGCAATTGTATGTGCATTCATTCATTCATTCAGGTATGTTCATTTGCATTCGTGGATCTCAATTTGCTGCAGTTTATAATAATTTAACTTATTTTTTTGAAAAGTATCCAAAATAAGTATCCGCTGAAAAGAATCCAAGTAATCCTAAAGAGAATTGGCATGGGACAACGAAACGTCGCAATTGAAAGCGAAGTCGGCGATTCTGTCCAAGACCCTTTTTTGATTAAGAATAAAATTAAATAGTAATCCTTAGCAACTTATTAACAATATAATATTATACTATATCTGTCGAAGACCGATAATCTGACCTTTCAACCAAAACACTTCAGGGCTGTTTCGAGACAGCCTTTCGCCCAGCTAAAAATTTCTATATGATTTGGCCAAAAATCGTGCAGGGCTTTTACCTCTGTAAGTGCTATAGAAATTTTAGACTTCATGTAGCTTGAACCTTGTTCATTTACATTGACAAAGCTTCTCGCGTTTATTAAGCGATATAAATTTCTTGTGAAGACACCACCCTGGCCTACCACTGCACTCGCCTGACAAGAGGCTCGGCACGTAACCCAACAGCACGACTCAGTTAGTGATAACTTACGTAGATTAGGCGTCAGCTGATGTTTTCTTTCTGTAAGAAAAAAGCTAAGCCTAGCAATTAAGTCACTTCTTCATAACAGATAGCTATATTCAAAAATGGGAATTTTGAGCAGCTGGTATTAGCACGCCTTCATCGTTAGCTGACGACAGTTTACACGGTCACGATTAACTGGGTGTATTGCTTGGGCTGATACGTCTCAACTACTGCAATTGACTGAAAAAACCATGCTGAATATTAACGATGTATCTGGATTAGGGCACGATAAAGAGATTCTACCAGCTTGTTTCTTACCGGAATATATTATTAAAAAAAGAATTATACGTACACAACGAAAAGAAAGCACCATCGTTGTATGATAAGTGGCCCATCATAATGGATCCACACTTCACTGCGTCTGTCAGTCTCGGCAGGACATTCTCACTGGAAACCAATTGAAAGGAAGTTGGATTTCCGCTAAACTTCATGGCTATTGAAATTAATACATGGAGTTCTATTGACCGCATAAGGACATGGTTACAAGAAATTTACTGTAAGGAACCACATTGGCAGATCATGGAATAGAAGACATTTGCTTACGATCCATATATTAAACCTACGTTGATGGTTATATATAGATATTTACTTAACGTTTTAACATTAAACAAGTAACATCTTTGTTTGTGAGAATTTCGGGAAGAAGCACGTGTGACATCGGCTTGACGATATTATTATTATTATTACTACTATTTATAATAATAGTAATTAAATCATGATAAAATAACAATTCGATGTTTCTTTATAAATCGCTGTTCTTCACTACTTCATCATAAGAGGACGATTGTATACGGCGAACCTAAAAAACTTCTATGCCTTATCGTTTTTAAGTTCTAAAAAATCTCTTTACCATCATGATGGGTAAACCATAGAATGTGCCGGAAAACTGCACAAAGACCATTATATCGCCTTTGCAGCTGAAATTGACTTCAGTCTCTTTAAAAGTTCCAAGCCGCCGAAAGCGTTTTAGTTAGGGTGGAACGTCCCGAAAATCTATGGGAAACAGCACACACGCACACCTCCTAAAGCCCCCATAAGCCCTTGGCCGATATGTGTATTTAAATTCGTCGTATCTTTGCTTCTCCTGACTCCTGACCGTCCTCTTTCGTCGGTACCACTGTATTGCATTTATCAAAGACCTATCAGGACCTAATACAATTAAAGGGATCGCGTAAGAACTAGATAGGAATAGATGTACCGCTTTTCGATTTTGTACTGGAAATTCACAGTGCGTCCACATCTAATCTAGATTTGGACCACTACTAACATATGGGTCAGTGTCTACACATGTCACCATTCGATCATCACGGAGGAAGATACGTATCAATATAGCTCTTTGAAGTTCAGCTGATTCTGCTTAAAATAGCGGCTCTAGACAATTCAGTTGATTACGGAAAGTATTAGACTGTAGGGCTTTGTCAAGTGCAAAGTCTGTAATCAAAATAGAGCAAACTTCTCCATAGAGAGATAAACAGCCTAAACTCTGTGAACAACATAAAACCATAGAACCATTCAAAACCACTGGATTTTTTCTTGTAAAAAGCCGGACACGGTATACTCGTAGTGCCTTTCAGCAGCGGCTACCTTTAGTGATAGTCGTTTGCCATTTCTAGAATGGATAATTTAGATCTTGCTTTTGTGATTTCGTAGGGCAAAAATAGGCGTATTACGTGAGTGCTAACGTTACTAGGCGTGTCAGTAGCGACGGCGACAGTCGTTACCCTTGCTTACGCTCGTTCTATGCCAAGGGTACGAAAACACTAAGCTATATATCAATATATTGTTCCTACTCAAAGGTATCCGCATGTCTTGCTTCCATCTCTACGCGTTTAATTGGGGGGCAAAATAGTAATTGATCGTACGAAATCATAATTCATGTAGAGAAAGACTCCCACGATGACTAAAACGAGAATAAGCACCACTTGAATCGCTATGACGAGTAGCGCACATCTATTTGCATGGACTCTCTTCCGAGCTACCTGTAAAACAAATAGCGGTGAGACAGTTCCAGTGACGGGTTCCACATTTCCCACGATAAATACGTATTTAAAGAACAATATATGATTATTATGAGTATTAAAGTTTCGCTAGTCCGTTTCGCTTGGAACTTTATTCGGGCCAAACTATAGGGCAACTGCTTCCGCGTGGTCACACGACAGAACTTCGGTTCTCAACTATTCTTCTAAATCTAGTCGTTAACTAACTGGCATCGCTGAGTAATTTGCTCATATCCTTCATCTGTAACTGTATGCGACCCGTACCGAAGCACATGGTCAATCATCTGTCAACATTTATCGAGAGTTGTAGACATCGTTTGTATAAACGATGGTCTAACAATACTAGCAATAAGCGTACAGGCCGTGAGTAATTGACAATACTTAGTAATAATAGACGGAGAATAAATACTCTTAACGGCAGTCGTAATGCTTTGAAATTCTGCGTCACATATAGAAAAAATGTCATCAGGTAACTCTAGCACGATCATCTTTCATTCGTTGTAAGGGGCGGTGGTAATGATGGAAACAATCTTGGCATTCAGTAGGAGACACGGGCTAACTTGATAAAAAAATTCCCTAGTAGCATTATTCTATTATAATTACATCACGTCTACTATTGGATAAAGACCTGTTGATAGACCTAGAGCTTGAATAAATTTCAACCAAACAGTACCTTGACGGCAACGTTAACCCCCTTCTCGTTTCGACGGCCTCCAGATTTAATGTCATCTGAACGCGTGATTTCTGTTGTTGTTGTAGTAGTCATATCAGAGGTAGTACCAGCATCCTTACTGTGTTGGGTATTTGCTCCGCTAAGGCCGCTTTCATTCGTTTGAGTATGCGTTATGGCCGACGGTGTGGGTTCGAACGCGTGCACCGACATCCTTTCTCAAGGTGTATTCTACTGTCAAATGGCAGAAGCGTAAAAGTTCTCCAGTGAATACTGCTACTAAATCAACTTGCTTTGTCGAAGGTAACGGATAAGGTTAATGAATGTTTTTTCCGAACCTCACAAATACTTCTACAGATATGTAGAGCGATAAAAATCAGACCCGAGTACATTCCGACCGGAACATCCTATGAGGAAACAGTTTTTAAAATTCCCTCTAAAAAACTTCGTTTTTGCCGTTTCGTGATGAAAGTAATGTCTAAGCCGAGATCTAGATACGGTTATAGCGGCAATGGCCTATGCCGTCCTAGCAAATGAACCAACATGATTGAAACATACTTGCATTCCGCGTATGCGATTTCTAACAGTGGAACATTGAGATTCGACTTTATACTATATGTCACAAAAGCTATAACATAGATTTTCGCCTTAGCATCCCACTAACAGAGGATACTTCTCAGGAGGTTGACAAGAAAAAAGCGTACGCCTGGCATCTTTGCTGCAACGAAACTTCCGTTCATTGGTTTACAAATGGACTCTTATGAGATGTTACGAGCCCGTTTAACAATGCCCATAAACATAAGTTCGCAACGTCTATAGGCGCACCTGATTTGTTAAAATAGGCTAGTTGTCACAATATAATTAATGCTAATGTGCTTCCTAACAGATTTAGAATTACTTCACGACGAAACGCTTTAATATGCGGTTTTAAAAAGTTCATATCACCCCTATAGATCGGCCAGCACAGATGGAGCTAGGTTTAATCCTAGAGCAAGGTCCGTGAAAGGAACCGAGATGAAGCCTTTAGTCCCTTTATCACTGAAACATTAATTATAGAGGCGTTTACGTATCCCGCATAGAACATCCTATATGCAAAAGTTCCTTAAGGCTTAATATTCAGTTGCTATGCGAGAGATATGCGGTGAGTTAAAATGTTCCGTGAATACAGTTAAATAAACCGTTCTTGACTTTAATATGACCTGACCATTCTCGCATGACGCTGCCCGTCAGACTTTTAGATTTGTTAATTGAAAGCAACGAGAGTTAGCTGCCACTATCCGATGCCTGATTTTTTAATTCAGTTGGTGAATGTGGTTCGATGTGTCCTTCTACTATACTAGCTGTGTCTTGGAGCCTTGATTAATATCCAGGCCTCAGCGAAGGAAAGATACTCAGTGCAATTCAAAATGGCCTCATCATTGTGGCTTGGCTGGCTAATCTAGCTGTCCTAGTGTTGCTGATATTGTCTCCTTTCGTAAAAATAGATTCCGGCTGCAAACTCTCATTATATTTTGGTTTTCGTTTTGAAGAGGATCTTAAGGCCACGAGACTCTGCCCCTGATCAGTGTTACCTGATTCAATAGAATGCTCACTATTCAGAGATGGAATATTAAGTTCTAACGGTTCTTCTGTAGGTGGAGATTTTGTCCCGGAGGTCGGCCAGGAGTTAATCTTTAGAACTACGACAGCTTCTTTTCGTGATAATTTTGTATATAGATTAGCTAATTAATTAGCTGCCATGCGACGCGTATGGCAGTCTCACGTTGATTTGCACTGATCGAATCGGTTAAATGAGCGGAACTTTCTATGACCAATACAAACACCAAATGTAATCATCTTGTGCTAAGATATCTCATTCATACTATATACATATGTATATATATACATATATATACACGTGCGTACTGGGGCGGGCAATCTGAAGCAATGTCAAGCGGCTGTAGCAGACGTCAAACTTGAAACACTTATTTTTTTTGAGATTTAATAAAGCGTTGTAAGTGCGTCGCGTACATGACACGGGCGATTGCTTACAGCTCTATTTACGTAGATACACATGTATAGGATGATTTCATGATGCGTGTGTGTCTGTTTTTCTATCTGCAGACCCGTTATCATATCGTAACAGGATACAACGTCAAAAGCTCGTATGACGCGGATTCTCTATGAGCGAGCAGTGCTTCGAGTAATAGTCGTATTTTGTCTTCCTGTTATTGCATCTTTTTGCTGTTACTAAATTAAACCTTGTATACCGATGAAAAGATATGAAGCTTGCGGTGCCTCAAGATAAGCATTCTCAGCTAGGTAAGATGCAACCGCACTGTCCCTTACCCACAAGAACACAGACAGGTACTTGACCATGAGGTTGCCGTCGGTGTCATGTCTGTTTGACACTGGGGTCGACAAGGCGTCAACATGTTTCGACATGGTGGTAAGATTGCGCTTTTGGCAAGTGTTGTCTTCTTGGTACTTATTCGTGTTGAGATAGCCGTTTTTCTGTCGGTTACAATAGCCGTTTGCCTTACTGGCATCACTTCAATACACCAAACGATCCGAGTGCTCCGTCGAGACTTTCGACTCCTGTACCGCTTGATTGGAACGAAGTCCTTGATCCGAGCAGCTGTGCGTAATGACATGACGATTGCAGAGTTTTTCCGCGCAACAGTATCACGGCACCCGAATAGGATTATGTTCATCACACGCGACCAACAATGGACTTACGCACAGGCCGAAGAATACACCAACCGCATAGCAAATTGTTTTGCTGAAATGGGTTATCGCAAAGGAGATACCGTTGCCCTGATCATGGAAAACCGACCGGAGTACATTCTACTTTGGTTAGGTTTGTCAAAGATCAGGATCGTTACGGCGCTCATCAACACAAATCTCCGTTCAAAAGCCTTAGCTCATTCTGTGTGTATAGTCCGTTCTAAGGCTGTAATTTTTTCACCGATGTTAGCTACGAACATCAGTGGGTCTCGAAAGGAACTCGAAGTTGCCTGTCCAGACCTTGCGTATTTTGCCTTCGGAAGCTGCCCAGAAGCTGATGATTTAGGCGCTGCAGACATTAGCAGGGCAATACTTTCTGCTGCCGCGTCGTCACCACCACTTAAGGGTGAATCAGATGACACGCTGATGTATATCTATACTTCTGGGACAACGGGTTTGCCCAAAGCGGCGATTATCAAACAACGCCGGTATGTCCAAACTGGGCTTTCGGTGACACACTTGATTCCTGTAGGTAAAAATGATGTGATCTACCTTTATCTGCCGTTCTATCATATGGCCGGTGCTTGTCTCGGGGGGTCACAGCCGCTAATTAACGGAACTACGGGAGTGATAGCTATGAAATTTTCAGCCTCACGATTTTGGAAGGAATGCGCCCAGAATAACGTAACTGTGTGCCAATACATTGGAGAGATATGCCGCTACCTTCTATCGCAACCCAAGCGGCCAGAAGATCACCTACATCAAGTGAAGCTTATGTATGGAAACGGCCTTCGAAAAGAAATTTGGGAGGAGTTCCGTGATAGGTTTCGAATTCAAAACATTTGCGAACTCTATGGATCGACTGAAGGTACTACCAGCTTACTTAATACCGACAATACGGTTGGAGCGATCGGCTTCTTTCCAGTGCTTGATAAATTACTCGGAAAATACGTCCCCATGAGAATAATTAGAGTGAATCCGGAGAGCGGAGTGCCAGTGCGAGATTCGGAGGGCCGTTGCATCATCTGCAAGCCTTACGAACCAGGTGAGATCGTAGCTATCATTGGGACCGATCCACTGACAAAGTTTGATGGATATGCTGATGAGAAAGCGACGTCTAAAAAAATTTATCGGGACTGTTTTAGTAAAGGTGACCGAGTGTTCTCATCGGGGGATATTGTGTATAAGGATGAACTGGGTTATGTGTACTTTAAGAATCGAACCGGGGATACTTTCCGATGGCGAGGCGAAAATGTGTCTACTACCGAAGTTGAGGCTGTGGTAACGTCCTTGGCCGCTAACCCCTCGATAGGATGTGCGGTGTTTGGGGTGCCTGTGCCGGGAGTTGAAGGTTGCGCCGGCATGGCAGCTGTCACTGATCCTCGCCGAAGCCTTAATTTACAATCACTACTTGAAGGGTTCCAAACGATGCTACCCCCTTATGCCATTCCGATATTTCTTCGAATAGTCTCTCAGGATGATACGACCGGAACGTTCAAAATGAGTAAAATCAAACTCCGTAAAGATGGATTTAACCCAAGTAGCTGTTATCCCGACCCGGTTTATTTCCTTGATCTGACGGCCAAACCTCCACGATACGTTCCAGTAGACCAAGCTATTCTTGAAAAAATTAATAATGGTCAGGCACGACTATAGACGGATATTGCTCTTATAGAAACTAGGTTTTAGCATAAAATCTGTCTACCTGTTTAGTGATTGCCACTTTTATTAAGTTATAACTGTGTCAAATAAACGATATTAAATAGCCGAACACCTTCGAATTTAAGTGCTAACGTTACGTTTGCTAAAATCAAGTATACTTGCGAAACCGAACGTTTCAGCTAAGTAGAACGTGTTACATACTCAAGTATTTTTGCCGCGGATATGACCAAGTGTTAGTAGCTGAAAAACTCGTGCTTAGGTCACTCGATTTCCGCATGTAAACATCACCTCGCCCTGTAATGTAACGAAATCGTGTACGGAAAATGACCCGGTATCGTTATTAGGTAGGCAGCTTTTGGCGTGAATAAAGATATCCTATTCTACCGTAAGTTATCTTGGTTATATAGTGACTTTTGGCCAGTTCAGTAGATTAAATTTGAAATTTGCTCAGCGATTTATTCAGTGGTCGGACTACTACGCTCAGATTTTCGCTTACAGTTCAGCTCTCCTTGAATCTTTGTGTGGCCGTTCGGCCGCGAAGCCAATTAGTTTTACTATAACATTTTGTAAATCAATATTTGCCCCTAATTTGCATTGAGATATATGTATATACATAACTACACATTTTCGTTGAACGTTCTGAACATTTTGAATTGCGTACCACAAAACCAAAATATGACATTTTTCTTAATTTGACAACCAATAGTGACCAGCGTGATTAGTTACAATACGAGACATTCTTATAGGACCCTGTACAGCTTATAAAGTCATCCTAAAGTTGAACGCGTACCTTCCGATATCAAGCTAGCACGCTTGCGGCCATACACTGGTCTTATGGTTTACCTCTTCTATGAGGGACGAAACAGAACAAAGGAATTGTAGGACGTAATTTAAAGATTCCCGAGAGCGAAAAGGATACTCACATAGGACCAGGTTCTTTTTTCTCTGATATAATAATCACAACGTTTCAGCAGAAGACATAAACTGCAGCAACTTTGCATTAAAGCAGCATCACAGCCTCAGAAAAATGAAGAAGCGTTGCTAAATTTATCTTAACAAATCTGTCAAAATTCGTTTTACGA